GGGGGGGGGGGGGGGGTTGCATCCTTACTTAATTGAAATTTTTAGCCTTACGTTTATCATAACATTGATTCACATAATCTGTCAAACCTTCCAACCTTTAAACGTTCTTACAACCAAACCTTCAAACCTGCAAACAATCAAACATTCCAACCTTCGAATCACTCATCAAATTCAAACATTCCAACCTTTAAACATTACAGCATTCAAACCTTCATACAATCAATAAACCTCAAACATTCCAACCTTCAAACCTTAAAACAATTCTACGCAATGGCCTCTTCACCATAATTTGTCGTCAAAGCACATTTCAACGGTGAGACATACATTTGTCCCACAGCTGGGTTTTTGTTTAGAGACACAGACAACATCTGATTTCTCTTAAACGGGAAAGCCAATTTCTCGTACTTCAAAAAAAGATTGGAGGCCAAACTTGAACGAGGCCCGGTGTCCCAGATATTTTATCAGAATCCAGTTTTCTTTGGAAACAACCAAGTAATTTTTTATAAGGTTGAAGTTCAAGATGACGAGGATCTCCAGAATATGATTTCCATCCATGTCTATTCTGGATACGACTCTATTGAGTTGTACGTTTTGCTTCAAGAGCCTCAGGTGACACATGAGGTTGATCCTTTGGAGAATGAACAAGATGAGGTGGATGCAGTTGATGATGAAGAAGAAGATAACGAGTTAGAGTTTGATGAAATGGTGAACGATGATTCCGACGATGATGGCATCCCTAGTATTCCTACAGACAAAATCTACACACCACCTCCGCACATGACAAACTTCAACATGGGCGGAGATGAACCTTCTACTGACTTATTTTTCAATCCGTATATGCAGTCGAATGAAAATTTAAAAGAGAAGGACAAGTTTCGTAACAGAGAGGAATACATCAGGGCCATTAAAAAATTTCACATGCTCAACTCGGTTGATTTTAAGGTGGATCGTGTCAACCCGGAAAGGTACAAGATCAAGTGTGTCCACCCTGACTGTATGTTCAAGCTGACCGTATCATACAGATTAAGGGGTGACTGCTGGGTCATAGGTTCCATGACTACCCACACTTATGTAAGTTCCACTCAATCACAGGACCACCGAAAACTCAACTATGATCTAATCTGTCAAGAAATCCTACCCCTGGTCAGCAACGACCCATCTTTGAAGGTGAAAACAATCATCTCCCATATCACCACGGTTTTTAACTACACTCCGTCTTGCTGTAAGGCGTGGTTAGCAAAGACTAAGGCGATTGAAAGGGTGTACGGAAACTGGGAGGAGTCATACCGAGAACTTCCCCGCTACCTGAATGCACTCAAGACGTATTCTCCAGGTAGTGTTTACGTTCTTGAAACATTGCCAGCGTACGCCCAAGATGGTAGTCTACTGCATGGCAACGGAATATTCAGTCGCGTGTTTTGGGCATTTCAACCATGCATCACAGGGTTTGCATCATGCAAACCAATTTTACAAATTGATGGGACTTGGTTGTATGGGAAGTACAAAGGCACACTATTGATGACAGTTGCACAAGATGGCAACAAAAACATTTTCCCCATTGCGTTTGCCCTTGTCGAGGGGGAGACCGGTGGTGCTTGGAGCTTTTTCCTGAAAAATCTTCAAACACACGTGGCTCCTCAACCAGATCTCTGTTTGATCTCGGACAGACATGCCTCCATTGAAAGTGCCTACAATAATCCAGCAAATGGTTGGCATGACCCTCCTTCTACGCATGTCTATTGCGTTAGGCATATCGTCCAGAATTTCTCGAGGGAGGTCAAGGACAAAACATTGAGGAAAGCGGTTATGAATGCGGGATATGCATTGACACAACCCACATTCAAATATTACCGCAACGACATCCGTTTGTCTAATCCGGAAGTCGGTGGGTGGATCGACAATATTCCGGTGGAAAAATGGACTAGGTCATACGACAATGGCCAAAGATGGGGGCATATGACAACGAATCTCATTGAATCAATGAATGGGGTATTCAAGGGCATATGAAACCTCCCAATCACTGCCTTGGTAAAATCTACGTATTTTAGGATGGCTGAGTTATTTGCAAAAAGAGGTGAAATATGGAATGCGGTGTTGCAATCTGGACAACTATGGAGTGAAAGCTGCATGAAATACATTAAGGCTGAAAGTGCTAAAGCCAACACTCACATGGTTATACGGTTTGACCGACACAGCCACAACTTCATTGTGAAAGAGACAATCGACCACAATGAAGGCCTGCCAAGACAAGAATACAGGGTAATTTTACCTTCTCAATGGTGCGATTGTGGCAGGTTTCAAGCATTTCGTATGCCTTGCTCTCATGTCATTGCCGCTTGTGCTCATACCCACCAAGACGCGCTTCAACTGCTGTCAAACGTTTACAAATCTGAAACGTTGCTCAATGTTTACAACAACAACTTTCCTTTGGTGGCAAAACCAGATTATTGGCCTGAATACGACGGCGAAATAGTTTGGCACAATGACCAAATGCGAAGGAACAAGAAGGGTCGTCCCAAAAGTAGGCGCATCACAACAGAAATGGACGATCTTGACAGGTTGGAAAGAAAGTGTGGTTTATGCCGTCAGGTCGGACACAATCGCAAAAACTGTCTGAATCGGGCGTCTGGCTTGACCACATATATATTGTAATACATAAAATCTTTTCATAATTGTATTGTAAACATTTGGGTTTTCCGTTAACAGATTTTGCTACAATTAATAAAACGCGTACAACAATAATTAACGATATTCAATCTAGGAAATTACAACTGTTAACACAATTTCATCTGACTCATGCATCATCAACATTACATCACTGTCTGTTTTGACTTCCTCCAACCACACATTAGGTCTTCCTGTCGCATGTGAGGTTGTTGTTCGTTTTCGCTGGATCCTTCGAATTTCCCCCCCCCCCCCCTCCGCAATGTCTCCATCTAGCCACCGCATCAACTCCCGCTTCAGACGCTCTATGGAGTGAATGTGCCAGAATTTCATTTTCATCGCTGGTTTCGTGGCGGAGAAGATAACGTAACCATCTCTGCTAAAAATCATAGGCGAAGTCATGACGCAAATAACGGAGTACAAAATAAAAATACAGTGCGAGAAAGTGTGAGAAATTTCAGAGAAACGGACGAATTATTTATAAAACAGCATTTTGCCCTAGTTTTGCCCTAGGAGCCAAGTGAGATGGCGCCTCCTCTCACTTTTAAGGAGCATGCGCCATCTCACTTGACTAAAAGCCAAGGGAGGCGCCAAGTGAGATGACGCCTAGGGCAAAACCCTAGGTGGAGGCGCCAAGTGAGATGGCTCCTCCTTTGGGGAGTCATCTGAAACATGGTTATTTGCGTAATTTTTTCTGAAATCCGATTATTTATGAAATATTATTTTAATACATGGTTATTAATAAAAAAAATTCTAGAATCTAGAGTAAAAAATAAAAAATATAATTAGAAAAATAATAATTATTATTATATTAAAAAATAAAAGTTACAGACAATTTAAAATAAATTTTATTTATTAAAATGATATTTATTTATTAAAAAGATTGATACGTTGGACATAACAGTTTTATCTGCATTTTAGTGCAGAACACATACTAAAAATTTAAATTCACGTATTCTAATGTATCTGTCATGTTTTGCTTTTTATTTATTTATGGAACAAAGTTATAAACTCAGAATTCTCAAGTATGCTATGTCTCATCCTATTTATTTGTGAGCGACGGATATTCCTATTTGCCATATTTAATCATTCTTCAGCTCTTGTCAATAAAAAACAAACCTAAGTAGCTCTCTTATCATTTTCACGGGCCACAATTACCTTGCTTCATATTTAATCAATAAAAATATAAACAAATTATTTCAAATCATGTCACATAATCATTCCGTCACTTTACCTGCTCTCTTTCTTCCTTGTGTAACTCATCCCTAACTATCCATCTGTCGCTATTATTAACTTTACCAAATACAAAATTACCAAAAATAAATATTCTATACTATAGTTCTAAAGTTTAACTCACATAATCACAACAAATCATATATATAACTTTTTTAAAAAGTTCTCTTTTTTTTTTTTTTTATAGAAAATCAATTGTAATTTACATAATGAACTTACTAATCAAATTGCATGATTCATAGTATTATATTTGTAGAAATTAAAATATAATTAAATAAGATTTTATAAAATATTTGAGAAATTAAATTATGTTTAAATAGAATTTTTATTTATTTTATTGAAATTAATATAGAATTAATTTACATTAAACCTCTAAAAATTTAAAACGAATCTAACATCATTAATCTAACTCTTTTAACAATATAGTAACATTTAATATTATATTCAATGGTAGAGTCTGAAATTTTAGACAATTTGGGCAAAAATTTTACATCATATTTTTATTAATTTTACATCTTATTTTTATTAATTTTGTTATTATTTTTTTTAATTTTGCACCATATTTTTATTAATTTTGTCTCTAATTTTATCTAAAAACCAGCTATCAGGCTGGAGAAAATAAAATAAAAAATAGGAATTGAGTCCAGACGCATGTCCAAATTTGTTGGACTATAAAATCACCTCTAAATGTATTCGAAGATAAGAGTGTGACTCTTATTAGACATATTTAACTTATTTATCTTTAAAAACTAAAATTCTAACTATTAAATATTAGAGAAAAAATTTAAATAAAATAATTTTAATAATTTAACAATATTTTGATCCCATGACTAGTCCATAATCTCCAACACCAAACGTTAGGTGTTCTGTCTTCCACCAAATAATTCCTTTAGTAGGTGTCCTTCAAATATTATATGACACCTCAAAAGTCATTCCAATCTTTCAGCTTCTCATTCTTGCACATTTCCTTCACTTTACTCTCAAGCAATTTCACATTTCCAATTTCCAACAATCACTTTTTTTTCACATAAATCTTCAAACTCAAACCCTTAGCACTTCAGATCCAAAACACACATTTTTTCTTCTATCCAAAATTCAAAACCATGAGATCCAAAACACAACTCTCATGCAATCTCAAACTAGTTCTTATCTCTTTCATATCTATCTTTTTCTTCATCATGTTATTCAAATCATCACTATTTTCATTTTCTCAACCACTCACTTCAACCTCAAAAACAAACAACCTCTCAATAATCTCATCACAACAAGAAACTGAAAAACCAACCAAACTACCAGAGTGCCCCTCACTTCCTATATCACCAACATGCACAAAAAACCCTCCATCATTAGTCAATGCAATAATTCATTATGCAACAACAAATATAACTCCTCAACAAACAATTCAAGAAATTTCGGTATCATCGAAAATTCTTCAAAAGAAATCACCATGCAACTTCTTAGTATTCGGCTTAGGCCACGATAGTTTAATGTGGACGTCATTAAACTACGGTGGCCGAACCGTTTTCTTAGAAGAAGATAAATCATGGATAGAACAAATTCAAACAAAAATCTCCGGTTTGGAATCCTATCATGTTGTGTATGATACAAAAGTTGATCAAAGTGATGAACTAATGAGAATTGGAAGGGAAGACAATTGTAAAGAAGTTAGTGATCCAAGATATTCAAAATGTGAATTATCACACAAAGGTTTTCCTAGTGAAATATATGAAGTTGAATGGGATGTGATCATGGTGGACGCGCCGACGGGCTACTTCGATGGCGCGCCGGGGAGGATGAGTGCCATTTATACGGCTGGTTTGATTGCTAGGAACAAAGAAAATGGTGAAACGGATGTGTTTGTGCATGACGTTGATAGAAAAGTTGAAGATGAGTTTTCTAAGGCTTTTCTTTGTGAAGGTTATTTGAGGGAACAAGAAGGAAGGATTAGGCATTTCAATATACCAAGTCATAGGGCTCGTTTGGGTAGACCCTTTTGTCCATGAAAATATTGCTTTTTCAGATCACTTTTTTTTTTTACTATGATCTTTTTAAATATTCATTATGCTATAGTTTAAAAATTATAAATGTTTTTTTTGTTGAGATTTTGTTATTATGGATTCTTTATATTTTTCATGTTATTATAGTGGATGAATGGAATAATAGATGTTATAGTGAATTGATTTAATTTGTATACATTATCTAAAAATAACAATATAATTTTTAATTAAATATATTTTATGATGTCATTTTTAAAATTAATTTAAGAAATATTTCTACAAATATCAATTTTGTAAAGACTAAAATAAAAGAATCAATATCAAAAATAAAATAAAAGACATATGAATGTAAAAATCTAACAAAATGATTAAAATTTTAAATAGTTATAAAGTTTAAAGATAGTACACTCATCGTAAAATAATTTTTTTTCCATTATCGATATAGTCTAATTTAGAAGTCAGTTCTGATGATAAAATAATTTTACACATAATCAATCAAAACTCTTACATTTATCATATTATTTCATAATTTTAAAAATAAAATTAAAATTTATTATGATGCATGTTTAATTGACAGTGTAATTTACACTATCAATGCATTTCCTTTTCTTTCATAGTTATATATTTTCACAAATAAATCATGTATTTAAACCATTAATTTACCATCAATGAAAATCATATTAATATTTTTTAAATAATAAATTATTTTTTATTTTGATTCTGAACTAATATGAGATATTTTTGTGGATCTGATGAACAAATACATGTGTCTGGTTTCAATTATGCATACATTAGGTTGAACTGTTGAAGGGTCCATTCATAAGGTCCAAAATAAATAAATAATTTATATAAACATATTTGTTTGATAAAAGTCCAACAATCCAACAATAATGCATGATGTTTGATTTCAAAAATCCAACAGTCACATACCTTTGCACGATCCCATCAACTACTCCACCATTTCAGCTTGATTCCAACGATAAGGTTGTGTGAGTTTGAAATAATATTATGATTTTTTATGTATTAAAAAAGGTATACTATGGAGTATATTACAAATATTTATTTTATTGGTTCTAAATCTAGAATCTATATAATAAAAGAAAATGTAAAGCCTAAATTTTTTACCCTCGCCTAAAAAAATTTAACTTCATAAAATAAAATAAAAATTTGAATAATTACTTTTTAAAAAAAAATTCTCAAATAACTATTTTTTCAAAAAATTATTAAAATAATTGTTTTTCAAACAAAAAAATATTATACACATAGAAGGAGTCACTCTTTATAATCATGCATACAAAATAAAGAGGAGGCGCATGCATATTCTTTTTAAGGAGGCGTCATCCTAGGTGATTTGACAGTTCTATTTGATTTTCTATAAATACAATCACTTATCTTCATTATTTTTCACACCACTTCTCACATCACTCTTAAAAAATGTCTTTCACTCCCTTGTCAAGGTTTTCCACTCCATTGACAAGGTTTTCATTAATCAAAAGAGATGCTCATGTTATTTTTTCTGCGACAAAGCCTCTGATGAAGATCAAACTCTGGAACACGTAGACGTTCGAGCATTTCAGAGGCACTTGATTCGCTGGTTGGAAAGGGACATTCCTGAAGGTGAACAGATCAGAAAATTTGAAAAGCAAATTACGATGAGGAACGAAAATGGAGTAACTCGTTCATGGAAAACCATGAGATGCGACGCTGATGTCCTGAGGATGATGCTTGGACCAGACGATATTGTGTTGATGGTTTTAATCTCTTAGTTATTATCATGTATTTAGTTATTTTGTTTGCTTATCGTATTATTGTGTTTTGCATAGTTGTCTTGAGTTTGTTGTGTTGTAGTTTTTTGGGTCATTATCTGAAGTTTGTTGTAATCGAATGTTAAATTGAACACGAAATGAAAAACTGAACTTAAATTGAAGTTTCTTGCTTACAACAAATAAATTACTCCAGAAAGTTTACTATAAAAACTTATGTTGTGGAGCTAGATCCAATATTCAAACAATTTTTTTGATTGTGTCCGAGAAGACGACATGTACTGTATAATCTTATCATTTTGTTGATCATATCCATTTCAGTTCTAATATGTGTGATGTTTGGGCGGCCATTTTTCTTCCTTCGCATTTGTTCACTGTGCCAAACAATGTCCCCTTGATAAGCAGACCAATAATCCTCATTTGCCAACACAAATAAGGTATTGAAATACACACTTAAAATGCTCTCGACTGTGTAAATGGGGATATATGTTCTCTTGGGTCCAAGCAAACATGTGAACATGCCGCTATGATATGAGAGCAAAGCATGCGAAATGATTGAAACTTTCCACAATTGCACCAACTTTTATCTACTTCAACCCGATATTATCCCCTTGGCTTCCTTTTATTATGATCCATTATCTCTTGTACACTGAACCAACCTTTAATGCGGTCAAATATAGTGACACTATGAGTGTTAGCTTTGTCAGCCTCCTCGTTAAATGATTTCATTGTGCATTCACTGAACAAATGCCTTAATTGTAACATTGCCCTCCATTTTGAACTTCTTGTATCGAACAATGACCCCAACCTAAAATATATTGCTTTAACCAATACAGTAATTGGTATGTTTCATATGCCTTTGAAGACAGGGTTCATTGATTCCATCAATTTTGTTTGTCATGCGGCTCCATCATTGACCATTGTCAAATGATTGGGTCCACTTCTCCACTGGAATATTATAGATCCACCTTAACGCTTCTCAGTTTGTCAGCCAAATTTCTTCGCGAGTGTTGGAATGATGGTTCTGTTAAGGCATATTGTTGTACCCCAAAATTTTCCCTCTCATTTTATCAAAATTTCTCATCACAAGGCTCTTGGAACTCAAGATCAGGCTAGGGTTTGCTCTGCTCAAGACATCTCCTTGCACTGATGACCTAAAATAGGGTTTGAGTTTGCACAAGGATTTTTGGATCTTCAATGCTCAAATTGACTTTCATACTTCATATTGGACTCATAAGTTTGTCCATACCAAATTCCAAGCCTTGAATCAAATTTTTGCCCAGTCAATTGGACAATTGACCTAGAAATCAGTTGTATTGGGGAAAAAGTCAATTGTGGCCAATTTACAGTCAAACCTCGTGAATTTTGACCCACATCAATACTATGAACTCATATGAACCATTGGATCAAGTTTGTACCACAACTCCACAAGAAATTTGATCAGATCATCAAAAGGGCAAAATGGTCATTTTAGGGTTTTGACTGTACAAAGGCAATTTCAGACTTTTTGACCTAGCCAATGGCAAATTAGGTTCAACCATGGACTCAATGACTCAATGACATCATCTTGACTCATTCAAAAAGTTCAAAAGATCTCAAAATGCATGGGATTGACAGATGAATTTTTCAGTCAACTGATCAAAATTTGACTGTACACTGAAAAGTCAAACTTTGACTTTTTGGTCAAAATCAAGTGTCAGAGGTCATTTTTCATCAAGATGTGTCAAATTATGAAACTTGTTCATCAAAAAATCTAAAATTGCAAATTAGGATTTAAAGTTGAAAATTTTCATAACTTAGAAATTTTCTAAGTTATGAAATTTTCTTAATTTTTCCTAACTTTGCCCCACATTTTCACCATGATGCAAATGGATTCAAACAAAACCTCCAACATAAAGGTTGTATTCCTCCACAAAGTCTACAACTTTGATTCACAAAGTTTTCTCAAAAGAAGCTTGGATCCCAAGTTATGATTTTTGGAACAAGGGTCCCTAAAACTTTTAACTTAGTGAAATTTTGCCCTAGTTTAGGCAGGATTTTGACCTATCTTCTTGGCCATTTTTCACATAGTTCCACTTGGAGTCTCAAGTTGCATTTCAAATATGGATTATATAGAATGTTGCAAGCTTTCCAAATTGTCCAAGAACTCCTCAAACACATTTGTGGTTACGGAGAATCGAAGGCTTGAAGTTGGCAAAAACTCACTTTTCATCCATGGCATATTCATGTTAATGCAAGTTGCAAATTCAAGTCAGCATGCCTTACACTAGTTTACAGGCCTCTAAACCACTTCACACTCCATAATTAAATGCAAATCCATCAGTCTAAGCTTTTGTTTTAGTCATTTGGACATTATACACAAGATTAAGCCCTAAGTAGAAAAAGGCACATTTCCATTTTTGCCATAATGTGCTTTATGTCAAACCACTATCCCTTGAGCATTGGTCCAAGATCTCTTGCAGAAAAACAAATCCACAAATCAGAGGGGCCAAGAGCCAAGTATGCAAGCATATTTGATAGCCTGTACAGGCCTGTAACTTCACTTCCACATTCTTACTTCAAAAACAAGAAATTTGTCCAAAACTTGAGAACTTGAAAACCAGCCAATACCAACTTATGCAAACAGTTTGAACATCTTTCTCACACCCCTTTGAGTTAGAAACACGATTGTTTGAGCCTCAAAACATCCCATAGCCAGAAATCACATTCCTTTGGCAAAATAGGGCAAGTTCTGCAACTTGAGTTCCATAGCTCATTTGGCTCGTGCGTTTTGCCCTAAGTTGCTTCAAACACCTTCCATTCAACTCACCCAAGCTATCCCAAACCTCAAACACCAACTGTAACTCCATTTAAAGTGTTCACCATTTTCATTTTGAGCTTGTGCAGGTTGAGTTCTATAGGCTGATTCAAGGACATGCAAGGCAAGCTAGCTATTGGAGAAGGTCAAGTGAAGTTCAAGCAAGCTATCAGACATCTCAAGCCTTGTTGAAAAGCACTACATTGCCCTACACGAATCCAACGGAAACAGTTTTTTTCCACTGTCTATCTCTCTATTTAGGAACATTTAGCCTTAGGTTTATGAATAAAAAATGTAGTGTTCATTGCCATGAAGCTGTACATATGCTCAGTTTTCATTTATATTAAGTGTGCTAGGAGAATTTCATCCATGAACATGCTGAAAAAACTAGGTCAGATTTTAGGGCCAGAGAAATTCTCTCTGGTCTTTGAGAGTTAAGACAAGTT